TCCCTACAGCTACCTCAGAACAGTCGATTTTCTCTTTTTTGCTTTTGTTTTACGTCTTTTTCTTTCATCCATACCCTCCTTAGGTTATGTAGGTTTATGTGGGTTTTAAATTTGAGGGCATTTGTGTCTATTTAGGTAAGTTTTTTGCTATATTTGAAATTTTTTACAAAAACTGACATTTTTGAAATTAAGGGTCAAGTTTTGGCTATTTTTTTAAATTCTCACAATAAGATGCACACAATTCCTTCCCAAAATTAAATCTATACAGCACTGGTTCGCTATAGGCAATTAAAAAAACAGCTTAATTGGTACACAGAAGGTGATATACAAACACAATTGATACATGTATAAAAACAAAAAACCTAATTGCACAAGACTTGGAAAGAGCCTCAAATGCACAAGACTCAGCCTCAGCCTTTACAATGAAACTCTCCCAGAAGGCCCAATTGCCCAAAGCCATGAAATTTCCTCAAAACCATTTTAACCTTCCAGTGCATACCCAACAAGAGAAAAAACAACCCAAAACAAAACTTCAACGAAACCCAATATTTGTGACTAATTATATTGACATATTCTGTTAGAACCTAGTGCAACGACAAAGAACTTTACAGAAACAAAACACGATAACTCACAAATGCAGGGAGAACTTCTTTTAATTAATAAAGGAACCAACACAGCTATATATAATTGCCTTACATCAAACAGGAAGGGAAATAACAACCCACGACTTTACAGCCCTAGAGTCGTGGTACATGACTAAGTCTAAACAGAAAATAACTTGTCCCTTAAGAGTAGGGATTATTATGCATGACTTCAAACCACTACAATCCTAGAAGCAAGGAAACCCAAACTCTATCAGCTAGAGAATCCTAACAATTTAACATCCTCCCTTCAACTGAATGCTATCAACATTCAGTTTATCCCTGGATATTCGCAGACACCCATAAGACCACGCATCTTCACGAACACCTCGAGCTTTAGTGGCTTTGTCAGAATATCTGCAATTTGCTCATGTGTAGAACACTGCACCAATTCAACAACTTCATCTTTGATGAGATTTCGAAGAAAGTGAAAACGCACATCAATATGTTTGCTACGACCATGCATGACTGGATTCTTTGACAGTTTAATGGCTGAGATGTTATCACAGTGAACCATCGTTGGTTTGCATTGACCATGATTAAGCTGCTCCAAGATCCTCCTTAGCCACACAACTTGGCAAGCACTAAACGCAGCAGCGATGAACTCTGCTTCTGTAGTTGAAAGGGTGACTACTGGCTGTTTCTTTGAAGACCAAGAAACTGCACTTGAGCTCAGAATAAAAGCATAACCAGAGGTGCTCTTCTTGTCGTTTTGATCACCAGCGTAGTCGCTATCTGTGTAGCCAACAAGTTCCTTAGTTCCTCCCTTCTTGTAAAACAATCCAAAACTGACTGTACCCTTCACATACCTTAACACTCTCTTTGCTGCTTGCAAATGAGTTTCAGTGGGTCGTTCCATGTATCTACTAATTAAACTTACTACAAACATCAAATCGGGCCGAGTCGCAGTCAAATACCTCCCACAATCTGTTTGTAAAATGTCCCATCAATCCTTACTCCATTTTCATCCCTAGTAAGTTTAATGCAAGGAACTATTGGATTGAGCACTGGATTGCACTGGTACATATTGAATCTCTCCAAAACCTCTTGAGCATACTTCCGTTGACTGATGAATATACCATCCACCTTTTGCGAAACTTCAATTTCAAGAAAATATCTCATCTTACCAAGATCAGTCATGTCAAATTCAACCATCATGGATTTCTTAAAGTGTTCAAACATAGTCTCATCATTACCAGTGAATATAAGATCATCAATATAAAGGCACACAATCAAAAGTTTACCTCCATCTGCCATTTTTATGAACAAAGTGTGCTCATAAGGGCACTTCTCAAAGCCTTCTCGATCAAAATAGGTCTCTATTCGACTGTACCAAGCTCGGGGAGCTTGTTTAAGTCCGTACAAAGCCTTCTTCAGTCGATATACCTTATATTCCTCTCCCTTTTGTTCATAACCTGGTGGTTGATCCACGAACACTTCTTCATCTATCTTTCCATGGAGAAACGCAGATTTGACGTCTAGCTGGTAGATAATCCAGCTGTTCTGGGCAGCAAGAAAGATGACCATTCGAATAGTATCCAAACGAGCTACTGGTGCAAACACCTTGGCATAATCCACTCCATACCGTTGGCTGTACCCTTTCGCGACGAGCTGAGCCTTGTATTTGTCCACTTCCCCATGTTCATTGAGTTTTGTTTTAAAAACCCATTTTACTCCAATTGTCTTCACTCCAGATGGCAACTCGGTGAGTTCCCATGTATCATTCTTCACAATAGCTTCGATTTCAGCGTCCATGGCATGTCTCAATTTGCTACTCTTCACTGCATCCTCGTATGTCAAAGGGTCACGATCAGAGAATAAGGCTAGATGAGCCATATCGACATTTTCTTCATCAGAGAGGCCCTGCCCACTTTCATAATCTTGCATCCACCCTGGTGGTCTTCGAACTCGTTCTCCATGAAGAGGACTGCCATCACTTGAAGACTCTCCCCCTTCGAGACTTTGAACAGACCCTATGTTTTCAAGTTCATTTTCAGGAGTGATGTTTGTTGTAGTTTCCTCCCAAAGCTTGCATTGGTACCTGTATTTTCATTTTCCTCCCATTCCAAATCAGCCAAAATAGTTTCCTTGTGACTGTCATCCCAGTTCCACCTTTGGTCTTCTTCAAAGACCACATCTCGACTCACAATTATTTTTTGAGAAATAGGATCAAATAATCTGTAAGCCTTGGATTCTTCACTTACCCCAAGTAATATGCATTTCAGACTTTTGGCATCAAGCTTTACTCTCTTGCTATCAGGTACATGAACATGGGAGACGCATCCAAAAACCCTAAAGTGATTGACTGAAGGCTTGAACCCACTCCAGGCTTCTTCTGGTGTCTTGCTTCTCACAGCAAGTGTCGGGCTTCTATTCAAGACATGCACTGTCCAATTCACTACTTCAGGCCAAAAATTCTTTGGGATTTGTTTCTCTGACAGCATGCTGCGCACCATATTCATGATAGTGCGATTCTTTCTCTCTGCGACCCCTTTCTGTTGAGGTGTGTATGCAGCTGTTAATTGCCTTTGAATGCCATTCTCATCACAGAAGTGGGTGAACTCTTGTGATGTGAACTCTCCCCTACGATCAGTTCGAAGTCTCTTTATGAATGCACCGGTTTCTTTCTCAACTTTAGTTTTGTAGGATTTAAAGGTAGCAAACGCTTCTGATTTTTCAACCAAAAAATAAGCCCAAGTTTTTCTGCTAAAATCATCAATAAAGGTAATGAAATACCTTTTTTTGCTATTCGAGATTGGATTTATTGGCCCACATATGTCTGCATGCACTAACTGAAGAACTCCAGATGCCCTCCATGTGCTTTCCCTTGGAAAAGGATCGCGATGTTGTTTTCCTATCAAGCAGTCTTCGCAGATCTTTAACGGAGCTTTCAACTGAGGCAATCCATCCACCATATTCTTTTGTTGGATCACCTTGAAACCATTCCAACTGAGATGACCATAACGGCAATGCCAGAGTTGAGTTTGATCTATGGTCATAGAGGAGAAACAGTTTTCCTCCTTTGGTGGACAGCGACCAAGCACAGCGAACATTCTGTTGCATGCCATCTCGGTTTCCATGATTAAACCTTTTTCAGGATGATAAATCTTGCACTTTCTGTGTTGCATGAGCACTGTAAGACCCTTCTCTTGCAATTGACCAATGCTTAGTAAATTGTTAGTCAACGCTGGCACAAAGAAAACTTCAGTAATCACCTGCATGATCCCATTTATCTCTATTCGAATGTTGCCCTTCCCTTGCACAGTGAGACTCATATCATTGCCCAGCTTCATTTTTTCTCTGAAATTATTATCAAATTGTGAAAATAACTCTCTTTTCCCACACATGTGATTACTACACCCAGAATCAAGAAACCACAAGTGATCTCTTCCAGCCTGGATGCCATCCACATACGCCATTAAAAGCATCTCTTCACCGGTCTCGGCAAAGTTCACCTTTGTATCTCTTGCTCTTTTGGGACATTCCCATTGAAAATGACCCAACTCATGACAGTTATAACACTCTAGGGTAGATTTATCAAACCTACCCCTACCTCTTCCTCTTCCTCGAAAAGAACCACCACATCTTCCTCCTGGTTGTCCGTGAGTGATCTGAAGGGCTTGTTCATCCACAGTGTGACGGCTGATCCGTTGTTCATGCACCAAAAGACTGCTTTGAAGCTCATCTATGGATAAAATATCCAAATCATTTGATTCCTCGATCGAGCATACAACATAGTCATACTTAGGAGTCATGGATCTCAAGATCTTCTCGATGATCACCACATCCTCCATCCTTTCACCGTGAATTCTCATCTTATTGGCTATGATGAGAGTTCTTCCAAAGTAGTCATTCACCGATTCCCCAGCTTTCATGTGCAGCACTTCAAACTCCTTGCGAAGAGCTTGGAGTTGTGCACATTTAACTCGTGCTGTCCCTTGGTACTTCTGCTTCAAAGAATCCCAGATATCCTTTGCTGTGTCTTTTTTTAATATCGTCTCCAAAATGGATCGATCAATGGCTTGGAACAGATAGTTCTTAGTCTTCAGGTCCTTCAACTTTTGATCCTCAATCACCTTCTTCTGTCCATCAGTAAGATCTGTCCCTTCCGCTGCTGCAGAGATCCCAGTTTCTACCAAACTCCAATACTCCTTTGAACGCAGAAAATTCTCCATAAGCATGCTCCAATGATCGTAGTGTCCATCGAACCGTGGGATAGCAGGCTGCACAAAGTTGCTCTCGCTTGTCATGTTATTTCTTCACGTTGATATCTGTGGTACAAGCTGTTGGTCAGGCCCCGTGATGGAGCTCTGATACCAGATGTTAGAACCAAGTGCAACGACAAAGAACTTTACAGAAACAAAACACGATAACTCACAAATGCAGGGAGAACTTCTTTTAATTAATAAAGGAACCAACACAGCTATATATAATAGCCTTACATCAAACAGGAAGGGAAATAACAACCCACGACTTTACAGTCCTAGAGTCGTGGTACATGACTAAGTCTAAACAGAAAATAACTTGTCCCTTAAGAGTAGGGATTATTATGCATGACTTCAAACCACTACAATCCTAGAAGCAAGGAAACCCAAACTCTATCAGCTAGAGAATCCTAACAATTTAACGTATTCCACGTCAAAAAGGAAGAAAATTTCAGATCAGAAGAGAAAAAAAAAAGAAACAGAGAACTGAAGAAAGCGAGAATAAGAAAACACAGGTCGTCTTGTGCGGTTTTTGAATTGTGAAAACTTAATAGAAATGCCCACATCAACCAATGAGTTAGATTCAGAAAAAAGTTTTAGAAAGTAAACCGTGAAGCAGCCAAATCAACGGAGTTCAAATGTTGGAATCAAACATGGAAATCGAGAAAAATAAAACTCGAATGGATAAGAAAATGGAGAAGAAAAAAAAAAGCTACCTAGCAACTAGGAGAGAGATTCAGAAAAGAGTAGAGACGAAAAGCAAAGGAGGCTGGGAGAGAAAAGCCCACGTCGAAGCCAGCCCACCAAACAGGCCTTAAGGGATTGAGAATGGGAGTAGGAAAGGCAATGAAATGGAATTAAACAAAGAATAGAATCGAGTACATAGTTTGGTTGGGAATTAGGATGGAATGGAATTAGTTCCACTGTTTGCTTTTGCATTTGTAATCGGATGTAATAAACTGTAAAATAAAAGTAAATAGGAAAAAGTAGTTCTCTTTTTGAGAATATTTAAGTTTCCCCAACTGTTAAATTTTTGTTTTCTTCTAAAAACAGTTTCTGGGAAATATCTTCTGTTATGTAGATTGTACTTTAAAAAAATGGTCATCTAGAACTAATTTGCAAGAAAAACAAGACTCTAGTGGAACCAACTACAATATGACCAAGATAGATGGACGCATTCGCGGCTCCCGTTTGGCCCGGCATCTTTCGCTCGTGGAAAGCGTAGTTTGAGTCAACAGTTCTCATATGAACTTGGGGAGGGGCCCACTCGGTCTTAGGACACATACCACCGTATGGTTCTATTCGGACCAGGGCTGACCGGTTGACCCCGTCCATTGGAATGGACCCAATCTTGTGTTTTTTTATTATATAGATACCAGATCCAAGAATAAAATGCTAAGCAAGAAAACAAAAATTATAATTAATATAAATACTAAAATAAAATAATGGTAGTGATAGACAAAGATGATATTAAAAGCAGTAAATAATTAGTTTGTTACACTAAATCGTTTGTTTGTTAGTCTCTATAACTAATCTTATACAGCTGTATTTGAGAGCTCATCGTTGCATTTTAATGTAAAGTAAATGAATATAAAAAAATTGAGAGAGTGAAGTTCATAGCACCACACTGCGATTTTCCAAGAAGCTCTCTCCTTTCCATTATTGCCTTTACTAGAACCTCTTCTCCACTAATCCCATAACACTATAGCATCTTCTTCTCATTGTTTTCAGTTTAGGCGGGTGGAAATCAGATAATTAAAGAAAGAAAGCAGAGGATCCATCTTGGAAAGTTCCTTTCTTTTTCTATTGAAATTCCTCTGTTTTCTCAGTAACCAACCAGAGGTATTTATGTCTCAAAGAAAAGCACTGGCTTATTAGCTGTGGAAATTGAGAGAGCAACAACTGGTTTCCTGGTTTGCAAATACTCGTCGTGGAGATCAGTCTTCTTCTGACCCATCTTTAACACCTAGTAGTAATCTTTACATACCCTCCTTGAGTTCCAGGGATGAAGGCTACTTCAGAATCAGCAGAGTGGATATTTTTAGCCACTAACCTTGGCCTAGAGATGTTGTCAGCTGCTTGTGATCAGGCTTCCTCCCCAAGAAGACCCCACTATGCCCTGTTTGGTATGCTGTTGGCTATTGCAGCTGTGCTCATTTCCATTTGGGAGCTAACTTACAGAGGTAAAAAGGAAAGAGTTGTGTTGAGGAGATGGGGAATGCTCTGTTGGTTTTATCATCCACCACCTCATCGACATATGCCTTTTGGTACTCTTCCTGACATTTTTGGACTAGTTTCTGGCATCTTACAGTGCATATGCTCTTTGGTTCAGTATGTTTACTGCCTTCGGCATGATGATAGTCCTTTCAAAGTATCCCTTTTGCCTGCCATATATCTTATATGTTTAGGTGGTTCAAGACTAAGTAATAAGCGAATGAACGCCAATACCACTGATAACATGGACTCGTGTGAAAATTCTTCAAGGTAAACCCGAATTTCACTGCTCACCTTAATTAATTTGCATATTAAATCTTTTTGCAGCTTTTTAGTCTGAGATAATACAAAGGGAAGGCTTCTTCTTCTTTATTTATTTATTTTTAGAAGGAGACGAAATGGAAATTTTAAGAAATAATTAAGGGAGATTTTATTGGATATCATATCACATGGGAATTCTACTTTATTTCAATAAGCACAAAATGTAAAGACTAAAGTGCGAGTGGATAGAGAGAGAGTGGCTAATTAAGCTAGCTCGCTATCTTTAATAAACAAGACAGTCGTAAAAGATTGCTTTCTTTTCTCTGTTTGCTTTTTTTATCTGTATGAATGGCTTTCATTCCACTGATAGCAAAATATTATTCTCTCAATGTGTTGGTTTGTAGCACGGAAGAAACTTCGTTGCGTCCAATCCCAGTGTATTATGTGTTTACACCACTTAGAAGACGGACTTCTTCTCTCCACTTGGAGGAGGATTCGGGTCTCAGAGCTAGACCCTAGGGCCGGGGACTCTCTCCTAGATCCCTGTCCTGGGCATCTCACTTGTCATCTTTATATTCGGGTCCAACCCCATGTACAAATGTAATCATACACCATTATAATGAGAGAATACTTCTCCGTGGACGTAGTCCATTCATTAAGGGTGAACCACGTATATCTTGTCTTCTTTACATTTATCGCTTGCCCAAGTCTTTACACACATGCTTAAGGTCCTCACCTTCATTCATCATCCATCATACCTCATCACTAAGTTGGACTCAATCTGGGCCTAACCAATTTGAGCAACAACATTATGCACCTACAAATATACCATTTCTCGATAATCAGGAGGAAGAGGTACTAATTTAATTACGATTTAAAGTAAATTATTTCCAAAACATTCAAACATACATACATATATATATATACACACACGCACATATATTACCTTGAAATATTAATTTAAAAGTTGTCATTTCTATATATATATAAATATAATGGGAATAATTGAACAAAATAAAGGAAATAATTTTATTTAAAAAAAACAAATCATTAACTGTTAATATAAATATTGTGTAACTGATAAAATACCACAAAAACAAGGTTGGTGAAGTGGTTTGTAAACGAGGCTTTCCTCCTTTGAGGGTTAAGGTTTGAGTCTCTTCATGCATACTAAATTTCTTACCTTTTTAGGTTGAGGGCAACATAGAGCAGCACTTGCTGGAGAAGCAGCTGCAGCCGGAGTTGGACCGGTTGCGACAGCAGCAGCAGCAGCGGTGGGAGCGAGAGCGGGAGTTAGAGCGGGGGGGAGAGGA